CATTCATTTTCACTCCAAGGCCTCTTAAAGGATGGTGCTGGAAAAGTCCTCGGGCAACAATTTTATCTCTTTCTGAAGTTGCACTTAGAAACCTCTGCTTGTACCGGTACCTTTTTGTGTATAGAATCAGCTGGCTTTTGTCAACTTTGCAGAGTTCCAAATTGTAATATTCTCAGTCAATTTACATTGCAGGACACTAGCAAATGCGCCTCTTTTGAACATGGCTGCTCTCCTTTGCATCTCTACCTATAAACTGTCTAGATTCAGTGTGAATGTCTCTCTGTGTATGGTACTATATTTTTGAAAGGGGGAAGCGTTTAATAATCACTTGGCAATATTCTGAATTTTATTTCCTACCATTCCCACTAATAAAAAAGCCTCAGCTGGCATGGTGGTCAAAGTTTATACGTATAGTGAGCAAGATTTGACCAGCTGTTTTGCAATTGCATATCAAAATGTATTGGCTTTCTAGCCTGAGGTGATTAAATCTTCACTCTCTGTACCAGCATCTCCCCCACAGAGTCAGTTCTATGTTTTGAGACTTCGTTACTTGCCATTGCCTTCGGGCTTTAACAATTATTATGTTAGTGAGTATTCTTAGTTGCAAACAAAGCAGTCCACTTTGGTTAGTTTAGCCAGAGAAAGATTCTTTATAGACTACTAGGTCACTCAAGAATCATTGTAGAGGTGAAAGTACCAGCTTCTAAAGCTACTATGTGGAAACTGGGTCAAGTTATGTGGCAGTGTTTCTTTGAGAAAAACACCAATCAATACTTTTGCCCCTCGGGACTAAATAGTACTGTGAAACCCTGTATGACAGTACTATATAGCATCCACTGTTGAGGGGGAAAGCAGTTCCCATGATATGGACACTGTGCCACTTTGAGTTTACACCTGGCTTGAATGCAGGGTAAATACCTGGATCATAGCTGCAAAGGAATCCAGGAAAGTGAGTTATCTAACTTGAGTCTTCAGAAGATGAGCAACACAAGGAGGGATCTGGTCAAAATGGAAGCAGAATGCTCGAGAGGCTGGGCCTCCATACATGATGCTTCTCCACTACAGAATCATCAACTGAATCTCCAGTTTCAAACCCATCACGACACCCTTAGGTAATCTTCAACATTTTGAAACAGCAACCCCACTCTTACCTTTGCTCTGTGAAGTAAAAATGTAAGTTTCTGACAGTTTCAATGTGAAACATAATGGCAAACTTAATATTCCTCAAAAAACAGCTGTTTGGAAGACAAAGAATGTAAGAGCTGGCCAGTCTTTATGGGGAATAAAAGTAGAACCAATGTTAGTTGTGACAAATATTAGTAATGTGACAGGTTAATAAATAATTAGGGTTCAGGGCATACAGAAAGGTTCTGTGCTATTGTTGCAAGTCTTTTGCAAATCTAAAATTATTCTAAAATCATTTAATTAAGAAAATGAAAAAAAAAAAACAGTCAATCAGAAATGCAGAGAGACTCAAACTCTCAAGGCAAATTGCAAGTACACTTATACAAAGCACATCATTGGTCATTTATATTTGTCCTTCATCTATTTGTATCACATTTATTTTAAACAGAAATTTGGAAAGAAAGATAGTATTGTCTCTCCCTCCTTTTTCTATATCATATATATGTATTATGTAGAAAGACACATGCCCATGTGTGTATGTTTATTGACCCATATATTTACTACTATTTTGTATGGATTGCTATTTGTGTGTATATTTAACCACTTAATAAATTTTTACCTTGCTTTCATAGTAAAAACTAGAATCTCAAAAAAAATTGGCCTCAAAATGAGATAGGATATTTTTTCTTGTGAAGGAATAGATTCTAGAAATATTTACCAATCTTTATTATCTAGAGCTTGCTATTTATTGTGCCTGCTGTTTGCAGGTAAAAAATACATTAGAACTCTTTCCAGGGCTTACATAAACTCTGATGATTTATTTATCAAAAAATGACAGAAAGGGACATCTTTCTGCATTTGCAGTGTATTGAAAGTTAAATTTAAGATGATAACTGTCTCTTTTGCTACTCTAAAATGCCTTTCTGTCTTTTTCTGAGATAAGAATGAAATAAACTAGTAGTTGTGTCTTTGTTTCTACTTAGACTTTTCTTCTTTTTGAGAGCAAGGAACTTAAAATGTTAGCCATCTTTAATATAAATTTTGGGCAAATTCCCAAAGAGGTTATCCAAATATGCTTGCTACAATAATTTCAGGTGTGGGTTCACATAGTTATCTCGGGAATTCTGAGTCAATGGGCGACAGCTGTGCTGTTACTAGTCTGAATGCTCTCCATGGTTGATAGTAGGCTTTGTTAGCTGCTCCAGACACAATGTCATGGATTAATTCTTCCTTTCTCCCCACAATTTCTACCACATTTTACTAATAAAATAGCGCAAACTTAGACATGTTTATGAATATATTTCTAAGAATGACAAAATTATTTTTTCCTCAAATATAAAAGGGATTTTACTTTGGTGAAACTTTGCAGACTTTAGTGAATATTTGTTGAAAGATACATGACAGAAATAATCAATAAGAGATATATTAAACATAGGCTCTAACTTCGAAAAGAATGTGTGGAACTTATGGAATAATGGCATATTATAGCTAATAGGGATCAAACATTGCCTGCATTGTGCTAACTGCTATTAGGTATTATCTACCATTTCTCACATTTTCTAAGATAAGTGTTATTATCCCCTGTTATTTATAGATAACGTAACTGAGATTTATAGAAGTTAAGTAAGGTAGACATAGTAGTTCTCAACCCTGTCAGACCCAATGATTCATTTTTATGTAAAATAATTCATAATGACCCATTTTATGCTGAAACAAAGTAATGTATGACTTAACCTATATAGATATAATTTGAAAAATCAGTATAATGTTCCAACCTAAAATGAAGGAGAACTAAAAGTATTCTAATATGTATTTTAACGTGTAAGGGCTTGGCTACAACTACGCTAGAATACATAGTAGACACAGGCTTTCACAGTCGGTAGAATTAACGTGAATAGGACCATTTCAAATGCACACTGATACAAACACTATAAATACCATAGTTCAAACACTATAGTTCAAATGCTTTGTGTAGTTTCGACATGGGTGATGTAATTTTTCAAAATGGAAAACAAGCCTCGGTGAATTTCTTAACAGCAACAACAACAAAACCTTCTTTGATTAGTGATTGACATGCTAGTTCCTTTCCAGGACATTTCAGTGTCTAGTAAACCATGCAAAAGACATGGTGTTTCTACCTAAAAGAACTACATCCTGAGCTAAGATAATTATCAATGAGTTAAGCAATTTCCTTAATGCCTGATGGGTCATTTTAAATCATGCACACTGTCCTGTACATAGTGGGGTGTCTAAATCTCTAGCCTGTTCCACTGAATGCCAGTAGAGTAGTGTCCTTGAATGTTTATGAAAACCAAAAATGTCCCAGAAATTAGTAAAATGCTCTGTGTTGAAAACTCCTATGTTAAGTAGAAACAGTGGTGCTACAATTTGCATATAGGCCTGTCAGATTCAAATATTATTCTTGTATGTGCCGTATTATTTTGCCTTATAAGTTAATGAAAGAGACATTATACTGTTAGGAATTCTCAAATACTTTTTGCACCATGAACCTGTTGTGAAGTCTTGTGAAAACCATGGATGTCTTTTCAAAATGTACCTTTTCATATAAAAAATAAAATTCATAGAATTAAATCAATTATATTGAAACATAGTTTTAGTTTAATGATAGGTACAAATAATATTTTAAGGTTCATAACACTTATAATGTTATATGTCAGTATCTGTGGTTGTATTGATGACAAAAACGCTGTTGTAGTTTGTTGCCTGTATTCATAATTGAAAATATAAAGATGATCTCTTCCTCTCTCTCTATATATATGTATTTTACGCATATATATGTATAAAACATGTATTTTATGCATACATATGTATAATACATGTATATGTATTTTATGCATACATATATGTTTTATATACATATATCTATATTATAGATAATACAGATATAGATTATATAGAAAGATAGATATCTATATCTATATAGATTATATAGATAATATATAATATGTATATTCTCTGTGTGTGTGTGTGTATATATATAATATATGTATTTTAATCCAAGTTCAAGAGTGCTCAGAACTCATCCATGAACCCTGAGATAAAGCCCCTGTGCTAAATCATGTACAGGATACACAGGAAGCACACAGTTGATCACAACTAAATGGTTCAATAAGTTGTAGGAAAAGTGATATACTATACATCAGTTAACTTGCTGATTCCTAAAGATTGATTGGTTAACAGGCAGAAAAGCCTAGGGAAGAGTGTATACAAAAATCATAGTGTCAGAAAAGTCCGTAGTATCTGTGGGCAATACTAAGTAGCTTGCTTCAACAAAGAGGGTGGAGGAAACCCGGAAATTAACAATGGACTAGAATGTACAGTTTGTTCTTTAAATCAGAAGGATTTTACTCTAATTCTACTTGATTTAATAATATCTTATGTGTTTACTGGGAGTTTTAGTTTTTCAAGTCCTTCAGAAAACTACTATTGTCATTTTGTAGTCTGTGAAGTCCACATTCTCAACTCCCATTGCAATATAATTAGCTTTATTTTTATGGAGAAGAATTTTCCAAGCATGGATATTTTTATCAAGATAACTATTTGTCAATAGGAAATGTGGCATAAGTGAAAATATCACAAGCAAAGATTTCTGACCGATATTTGATTATATCTAAATCAGTTGAAGGAAATAGGATGGAATGGGATTTGATTTTCCCTTATTAACATTATTTAACTTTTCTTCAGTGTATTTGCATTATGTGCCTGCAACATCCCATGGATAGATGCAATGGGTTATCTCATTTATTATGTTGTATATTGTGCCCTTCTAGAATAGATAGAAAGTAAAATACTAACATAAGATGCGATTTAGAGCAGTTTTCAATGGTTGTTAACTTATCCACATTTATTTTCAGTGAGTGTCATAACTCCACAGATCGAATCAAAGTCAGAGTATGGGATGAAGATGATGATATTAAATCCAGAGTCAAGCAACATTTCAAAAAGGAGTCAGATGATTTCCTGGGACAAACAATTGTAGAAGTGAGGACCTTGAGTGGAGAAATGGATGTCTGGTACAACTTAGGTGATTATTTTTTTATCTACTTGAAAACAAGTTAAATAAAACCCCTGAATACCTGTGGCATGCATTATATTCCCATGTAAGTAAATATAACCAATGCCTTTCCAGGACATTCTGTTGGACTTTAGATGATTCATTTCATTGACAAGAAAAGACTATTCTTTTTTCAACACTATTAAAAGACTTTGATAAATCTGAGGTGAAAAGAGAAAACCCTTTCCAAGAACTACCTAGAGGTCTTTTAGAGAAAAATGTTATTGCATTCTTAATTTTTAATGCATGAACTACAGCTTCATAAACCTTTGCCAAATATGTGGGAAACAAATACTCTATTATTTAATGCTGTTTGACTTATTTCCTTCTTGTCTATTGATGGAATTTTGGCAATGAAGGAAAAATGTATTTTGAATTGCTTTCGAATGATAGTAGAAAAGTAGGCTTTAGTTGACAAAGCCAAGCAAATATGTGATCTCATGTGGACTCTCTTGATGAAGATATTGAGAAGGTGATTAGTTGGAATGCTTTAAAAAATTATTATGGAACCAGAAATTAAAGAAGGTAAGTTTTGATTTAACTTTTACTGGAATAGAATAATAACACAGAATTTTCAATGGTGATTTAATAGTAGTAAAAATATATGAGGCACCTCAGTTCCTGCAAAGGCACGATCTGAAGATGTCTTAATCATATCCTATAAAGTGTTTTAATTAAACTTTTGAGGGCTGGCTGGATATGAGTTAAAGAGTTGACACATTCCGCAGGTTAAAAAGAATTACCACTTAGGATACCAACATATATTAACAAATTAAAAAGTGCTTTTGACTTTAAAAAATAATCTGCATACTTTTAGTAATGAAATAATTGGCATACTAAAAGGAGAAGGTCACATAAAATTCATGAAACTCTAGATTACAGAATAATGCAACAAAAGAAAGATATTTAATTTATCTAAACACAGATGATTCAAGTTAAACTGAGAACTAATTATCAAAACTATTGTAAGAAATCTTCCTTAAAGACGATTGGTACTCTTATGGATTGGAGTAGAATTTTTACCTCTCCTATAGTGATCCACCCCCCAAAGCTTGTTTTAACTATTAAATGACTTCATATATGAAAATAGAGATACTAACTGAGGGTAAATTTCAGGCCATTAACTCTGTGGAACATTCACTAATTATTTCTTTATGAAAGAGGTTTATCTTTATATGGACTTTTTTTTTCTGTAATACGTTAACATTTTCTTGGGTTGAGGCAGTAAAGTTGTAAGTCAGAACAGAAATTTCTCCAATTTGTTCTTTTAACAAAACATATATGAGTGCCTAGCACAGTGGCTCACACCTGTAATGCCAACATTTTGGGAAGTCGAGAAGGGAGGATTGCTTAAGGCCACGAGTCTGAGTTCAGACTGGACAACATAGGGAGACCCATCTCTACCAAAAATTTAAAAAATATTCTCCAAGCATGGTGCCATGTGCCTGTAGTCACAGCTACTCTGGAGGCTGAGGCAGGAGGATCACTTAAGCCCAGGACACTGAGGCTGCAGTGAACTAAAAGATTATGTCACTGCACCCCAGCCTGGGTGACAGAGTGAGACCTTGTATATAAATAAAAAAACAAAAAAGAAGAAGAAGTAGAACCCAAAAAAACCATGTACCAGTATATATTCAGGAATTTGCTGAGGAATTTGAATATGCTGCTATTAGTAGAATCAGCCATTCAGCTCTTATGCTGAAACTGTCCTTCAGTCTATGAGATGAAAATATGATGAAACACAATATTGTAAGTCTGTACCTACTCACCCTCAGTACGTTTTTGTCCTCACTGCTGATGTTTAACCTTTGAGAGAGAGAGAGAAAAAGAGAGAGTGTGTACAGGTTTTACCTTTTTCAGCTTTGTGTAAAATCCCTGAATAGATTCTATCCAAACAAATAACCTGTTTCTATTCTTGATACAACCTTTCTCATCACTTAAAATTCATTCTACTACACAAAGGAAGTTTTGACCAAAAGCCTTGGGTGTCCACGCGGAGCCTGCTTCCCAAAGATCCTTTGGGATGATAACAGTCAAAAATCAAAGAACCAACAAATTTCCCCTGGAGTTCTGGAAAGAGGTGTGTGACCAAAAAGACCCTAGGTCTTGCATTTCTCTTGGCCCCAGCAGAGAATTTTAATATTTGTTGAGAATCAACTCCCTCTCAGCCAGTAGGAAAATCGCTTATGATCCTGGCACTTAGAAGGGAAGAATCTTTGTAACCCAAATGACTATTAAAGAATAAAAGTGAAAAGTCATCAGACGTTCCATAAGAGGGACGCCATCTTCATAATTTAACTGTACCTTATATGGCTAAAGGTACAACTATGTTTAGAAAGAGGGCCAGTTTAAGTCCTCTGCACTGACTTTGTGTCACTTACCTAAATCCTATTTTCATTTGTGAAATGGGTCAGATTGCCAGAAATGGGTCTTGAACTTAGGACCCCCCCGCTACAATCACAGCCTAGAAATTTATGCCTTTATTTATCTCAGAGCTATTGATCAGTTCATACTGAACACATACACACAATTTACTTGGACTCAGGAAGGGGAACATCACACACCGGGGCCTATCATGGGGAGGGGGGAGGGGGGAAGGATTGCATTGGGAGTTATACCTGATGTAAATGACGAGTTGATGGGTACAGCACACCAACATGGCACAAGTATACATATGTAACAAACCTGCACGTTATGCACATGTACCCTACAACTTAAAGTATAATAATAATAAATAAATTTTTAAAAAATGCAATGTAAACATAAAAAAAAATTGACTATACATTGTTTCCATTCAAATAAACAGTCTAACACTTGTAAGTTAGCCTAGGTTATAGACTGTTGGTCTTTATAAATCACTGACAATGAAAACTATTAGCAGCGTTTTTTTATTAACCAGAACTTTGGCTCATCTTTTCAAGTACAGAAAGAAAAGAAACCAAGTAGTGACAGCTTTCAGACAAAATAATTTCCTATTTATACACCGTTTTTCTTAATTTTGATTGCCAAATAACTTATTTAATTTCATTGTATAAACGGATCAAGTACACAGAAATATATATGAGAATGGCAGGGTCTTCTGATTAGTTTTTTTTTTTAATTTGGAATATCTATAAGACAGTTGACAATTACAATAACGTAATAGGCAAATATCTTAAATTGTATTTAGGGGAATCATGGTTACTGTTTTCTGTTTTTAAATAGAGACGGGGTCTCACTATGTTAGACAGGGTGAAGTGCCCTGGTGTGATCATAGCTTAGTATAACCTCAAACTCCTGAGTTCAAGACATCCTCTCCCTCAGCCTCCTAATTAGCTAAGACTGCAGGCAAGCACCAACACACCTGCCTAATGAAAAAAAAAAGTGTAGAGACTAGATCTTGTTATGTTGCCTAGGTTGGTCACAAACTCCTAGCATTAAGTGATACTCCCACCTTGGCTTCCCAAAACACTGATATTATAGGCAAGAGCTACCACATGCGGTCTCATTATGGTTACTTAACAAGCAACTCTGACTCAGAAAAATAGTTTTTAGCTACTTAAGTCTTTTTTTTTTTTAAACTTTTGAGAGGTAATATGAGAAAAACATTATTGTCAGACATGACTGACAAATTCCTTTTTTGCTTTATCAGAGAAAAGGACAGATAAGTCAGCTGTATCTGGGGCCATACGATTGAAAATCAATGTGGAGATAAAAGGAGAAGAGAAGGTTGCTCCATATCATATTCAATATACCTGTTTACATGAGGTAAATAAATGAAATTTTACTAATACAAAATATAAGAAATGTTCTTGATTATGGATTATAAAACAGAATATTTGGTTTTAAAAATCACTGAATTTGTAGAGTGGTTCCTGGAGTTCTGACTCTATACTGCAGCAGGCGATATACTAAGATACCATAAATTCTATGTATTGTATTACCCCTGATGAACTTGTCATCTAACGAGAGTTTAGAACAAGCCTGTGAGGCAGGTGTGAATAGGCAGTAAGATGATAATGCATAAGTGGATACAAAAAAATTACTGTTCTTCCAAAGGGGAAGGAGAGTAATAAAAATATTGATTGAAGAAATGAGTCATGCCACATATTTTGGAAGCATTAAATATGCAGTAGTTTGGTAATGCAGGAGAGGATCAAATCATAATTGTGTTTGAGAACTCCGAGTTAGAGTTCAGATTTTATTGAAGATTTAATTAGGACTCTATCTATAACTAGAAACATAAAAATGTGCTGTTTCAATGGCTTTTGGGAGCCAATGTCATAAGCAGTTAATTTTTCTTCCTGTTTCTGAGTACATACAACAAACTGTTTCATACATATTGCACACTCCTCCATGTTAACTTCTCTTTCCACAAACGTATGAGTATGGAGAGAATAAGATGTGGTTACTCACCCAAAAGGTAGGGCCTAGTTGGCTTAGAGAGAGGTAAGCACCATCCAACATCAATCAAAAGCACAGTTTCACCAGTTCCCTTTTGTGTCTCAGTATAGAAGCACAGGTAAATCGTCTTGCGATTCGATCGAATGTTTGTCACTAAGAGGTTAGTTAGAAGTGTCACTGGAGACTTTCTCTGATGCAAATAATACTTGTCTCATATCAACAAATAGGTGAAGCTGAGGAATGTACTCTTCTTCATGTTTTTCAAAGTAACAAAGTACATTCCTCAGAAAAAGACAACTGAAAGGTAGCTTTACTTTTTTGCATATTATTTTTTTCTAAATATATTCATGAAAACTTATGCATTTAAATAGACCCCATTTTACTAAAACAGAAATGAGGAACAGTGTTCAAATTGTGTGAATATCACACAGTAATTAGGTATATGACCTAGGTTTATTTCATAATCACAGTTTTGTGGTCAGTGATCTCATTCCCTCATGAGAGATGGTTCATTTTTCAGACCAAGAAAAAGAAATCCCTTGAACTGGCATGATGAAGAATTCTGGCCTTAAAGTGTGCGTACCGTCAGAGAAATAGCAGTACACTTCACTTTACAGAGTATTTTCTACTGGCCCAAGAACCAGAAAGAACCGAAATCTAAGAAAAAGTTCTTCAGTTTACCCTGGCTTCATCAAAGTAGCAGTTGCTAAGCTTAGAAGCAAAAAGGAATTGAGAGTAGTAATTTTATATCACTCCAAAATTCTTCAACATTCACTTTCAGCCTCATGTCATTGCCCTTACTCTTACCATTTTCCAGCCCAAACCCTTTAGTATCATTTACAGAGCTAAATTTTGCCTTAACATAGTCAAAATCACATTATTCATCCAAGGCACCATAATTTACTCAGAATCCCTGAATGCAAAATATGCTCTATCATGTAGAAATGATTTCATGCAAAAACGCTTCCTTCTGCAAATGGTTTGGTATGTACAAATATTTGAATCATTGATTCCGTATAGACCCACCCCACTTTACTGCCTAAAGTACCTTAGGGAAGGTATTTTATCACTTTGAACATGAATATGGGTACATTCTTCGGCCTCATCTCCTATTTTTTGATGTAAGACAAGTATCATTTGCGTCAGGGACTCGCCAGTGACACCTCTAACTAACCTCTCAACTGCAGTGTAATAGAATCTAATTCTGAGAGTGGAACTCGGTGATGTGTGTTTTAATAAGCCTTCCAGGTGATTCTCTTTAAAGTTTGTGAACCAATGTCTTATTCGCTGAGGAAACTAAAGCCTTGACAAGGTTACAAAGCCTGTTACTGTCAAAGACCCATCCAGAGCTATTATGACATCTTAAATATCAAACTATGTCCTTTCTTCCCATATTTATATCAGTGCTTTTACCCAGGCAGAAATCATAGCAGATTTTGCATAAAAGATGAATTGAGTTAGAATAAAAATTCGAGGTATTCCTATTGCTTGCAGATGCTGATGAAACATTAGAGGCAATGACAGTGCAAGTGCATTTTACTGAAAGTTTTAGTTAAATATTTCTGGCCTATTCTGAGGAATCACTGAACAATTAAAAACCACTTGCTTTTAGAATCTGTTCCATTACTTGACTGAAGTGAAATCTAATGGTGGAGTGAAAATCCCGGAAGTCGAAGGGGATGAAGCCTGGAAGGTTTTCTTTGATGATGCTTCCCAGGAAATAGTTGATGAATTTGCTATGCGTTATGGAATTGAATCCATTTATCAAGCTATGACGTAAGTACTACAGAACATTTACGTGGTCAATATCTCTATTAAAATATAAAGAAAGAAAGGAGCATTCATCTCACTTCTAATTCAAATGAAACTGATTAAAAAGAGGATTATATTTCACTGTGCATGTTTGATGCTGACTACTCACTCTTACAGCTGTAAAGTATTAATGACTTGGTAATTCATTACCACCATCCTCCAATCCTTGTTCTATTCTCCGAGTGTGGTTCCTTGACAAATAGTATCAACAGCACCTGGCAACTTAGCAATGCAAATTATCCACCCCATCCCAGACCTACTGAATCAGAAACTCTGAGGGTGGAATCCAGCAACCTATGGTTCAGCAAGTCTTCCAGGTGATTCTTATATACTTCAAAGTTTGAGAGTCAACGACTTACTCCATATCTGTGGTAACTAAAGTCCTGGTTTGTCCAAGGTCACAAAGCCTGTTAGTGAGAGAGACAGGTCCAGAGCTAGTAGGGTGTCTTGTTCCAAATATTAGAATATGTCTTTCCTTCTCATATTTATAGCAGTACTGCTAATTCAGTAAAACAAAGATTTATTTAGCACTCATAGAACCCAAACCGTATAAAAAATATGATGCCACAGAAATGACTTATTATAATTTCAATGAGGATTCAGAACTGAATTTCAGTAAGGGTTTAGTAATGAACAGAAGTATTCCTTCCCCATAATTTACTTTTTGAGACCTGGTCTAAGTTTATAAGTGCAAGTGGTTCAGATATATACCAGGTGTAATATGCAAATTATTTATATGCATATATTAGATGACTTTTTTCATATTAACAACAAGATCTCGTTTTCATGTGAACTGAATAGATACTGGCCCAGATAATCAGTCAATTTCAATCATCTTAATGATGAATGAAGACTGGGCCAAAATCACTGTTCCTTTCTTTCTTTTTTTTTTTTTAATATACTATAAGTTCTGGGGTACATGTGCAGAATGTGCACATTTGTTACATAGGTATACATGTGCCATGGTGGTTTGCTGCACCCATCAACCCGTCATCTACATTAGGTATTTCTCCTAATGCTATCCCTCCCTTATCCCCCCACCCCCCGACAGGCCCCAGTGTGTGATATTCCCCTCCCTGTGTCCATGTGTTCTCATTGTTCAACTCTCACTTTTGAGTGAGAACATGCAGTGTTTGGTTTTCTGTTCTTGTGTTAGTTTACTGAGAATGATGGTTTCCAGCTTCATCCATGTCCGTGCAAAGGATATGAACTCATCATTTTTTATGGCTGCATAGTATTCCATGGTATATATGTGCCATGTTTTCTTTATCCAGTTTATCATTGATGGACATGTGGGTTTGTTCCAAGTCTTTGCTGTTGTGAACAGTATTGCAATAAACATACGTGTGCATGAGTCTTTATAGTAGAATGATTTATAATCCTTTGGGTATGTATCCAGTAATGGGATTGCTGGGTCAAATGGTATTTCTAGTTCTAGATCCTTGAGGAATCGCCACACTGTCTTCCACAATGGTTGAACGAATTTACACTCTCACCAACAGTGTAATAGCATTCCTATTTATCCACATCTTCTCCAGCATCAGTTGTTTCCTGAGTTTTTAATGATCGCCGTTCTAACCGGCATGTGATGGTATCTCACTATGGTTTTTATTTGCATTTCTCCAATGACCAGTGATGATGAGCTTTTTTTCATATGTTTCTTGGCTGCATAAATGTTTTCTTTTGAGAATGGTCTGTTCATATGCTTTGCCCACTTTGTAATGGGGCTGTTTTTTTCTTGCAAATTTGTTGAAGATATTTGTAGATTCTGGATATCAGTCCTCTGTCAAATGGATAGATTGCAAAACTTTTTTCCCATTCTGTAGGTTGCCTGTTCATTCTAATGATAGTTTCCTTTGCTATGCAGAAACTCTTTAGTTTAATTAGATCCCATTTGTCAATTTTGGCTTTGTTGCCATTGCTTTTGGTGTTTTAGTCATGAAGTTTTTGCCCATACCTATGTCCTGAATGGAATTGTCTAGGTTTTCTTCTAGGGTTTTTATGCTTTTAGGTTTAACGTTTAAGTTTTTGTCCATCTTGAGTTAGTTTTTGTATAAGGTGTAAGGAAGGGGTCAGTTTCTGTTTTCTGCATATGGGTAGCCAGTTTTCCCAACACCATTTATTAAATAGGGAATCCTTTTCCCATTGCTTGTTCGTGTCTGGTTTGTCAAAGATCAGATGGTTGTAGATGTGTGGTATTATTTCTGAGGTCTCTGTTCTGTTCCATTGGTCTATATATCTGTTTTGGTACCAGTACCATGCTGTTTGGGTTACCAAAGTCAGGTAATGTGATGTCTCCAGCTTTGTTCTTTTTGCTTAGGATTGTTTTGGCTGTGCTGACTCTTTTATTTTTCCATGTGAAATTTAAAGTAGTTTTTTTCTAATTCTGTGAAGAAAGTCAGTGGTAGCTTGATGGGGCATACTTACCAAAGTAATTGATAGATTCAGTGCTATCAGTGTTTCTTTTCAAAGTCTGCTGTTCATAGCCCTTAATCTCTAATCATATTTCTAGAACAACATAATGTAAGCATGAACGATAATTACCGATAGAGAAATTGTGCATGCTTTTCCAGTACACAGAATGTCCTTATGCTAAATAATAAAGATATATAGATTCTTCGACATGAAAACAAAGAAACCTTAGAGATCTCCCGATTGAACCTCCCTCTCAAATCTGGAAACTTTGTGATTGGTTCCCCGACTGATGGTTACCCTCCCTTTGTTTGTCCACATCCAGTAACAGGGAGCTCACTACTTTGGAGGGAGCTTGTTTTATAATTGATCAGCCATAAGGGAGTCCATGACTTTGACATCTGTTCCATCCTATGCCAAAGGCTATGATTCAGAACACCTAGTATAAAGTCACAGCACAATTAAAATGCAACTATGATGAACAGTCTAAGGGAAATGAATTGTTCTGCCTAAAGAAAGGTAGGTTAAAAAATCAAAAGAACCTGCTGCTGGATAGAATCCCATTAAAAGAAAAGATTAGGTTAAATTTATTCCAAAATATCTCTGGGAGCTGATGTTAGATTCGTTCATTTCCATCTTTTCTGTGTTCTAAGAAACATAGTCATGTGAATACAGAAAAATGCTAAGTATGTATCACGTAGATGGTTGAAAAGAGGAGAATTAGCACTTCCTTATTTTATTACATTGTATAATGTGGTAAATCTTGCCTCTCAATCTAAGTAAAAGATAAGTATTTTTCAAAAATATTTTCGATATTTATTTGTAAGTGACCTGCAGGTAAATTGTGTCTTATTGTATTTACAATACTCAGGAAAGGCAAAAACTTCTGTTCACACTAGACAACTGTCTAAAAGCAGGGGTTGGCATTTTTTTTTTTTTCTGTAAAGGGCCAGATAGTAAATATTTTGTAGTTGTACCAGTCTCTGTTACACTGCTTAGTGCAAAGCACTCATAGATACGAAGTAAATAAATGGAAATGGCTATGTGCTGATAAAACTTTATTTTAAAAAACAGAAACTCAGGATTTGGTCAGGGTTTGGCATGACGGCCTGAGGGTCATAGATTCACTGGTCTAAGGAGTGAAAACAAGGCAGATAGAAATAAAGAAAAAGAATGCCTTAGGTTTTGTGATTCATTGACAATTACACTTCAGTGACAATAATGTGGTAGATTATGTGTACTTTTGGTTATACATTTGATTTAAAAACATTTTTACGTATCACATGTTTCTTTTAGCCCTAAATACTTACCATGACAACCCTAATGTTTTTCCCAGCTTAGCAAAACTTTAGATAGGCTTCTTTCTACCTCTATTGCCCTGAGGTCCATCTCCTCCCAGCTGTTGCAGATTCCAAATGACCTAAACCCACAGGCCCCTGACCTCCTTTCCCTTAGAGCGTTTACTTTAGAAAACTTACAGTTGTAAATTCTTTCTCTGTTCCTTTGAGAATTTAAAAAAAAAATTTAAAAAAAAAAAAAAAAAAACCCTTGCCTGATCTTGTCCCTGTTGCAGTAACCTTAATAAAAATTCCCTTGTCTAATTAACTTTGGTGCAATTTTTGCTTTGTCAGTACAAAATTTTCCATTACTTTGCCAGAAGAAAAAAATTCTGTTGACAATCTGATTAATCCTAAGGAAATTACTATCAACATAGATACAATCTCTGTTGTACCAATAAAGATTTTATGAATACCAATATTATTTATTGGTATTCATTAGTTATTAGAAATTACTGTTTTTATACAAAAATATACGTGTACTCATTTTATCTTAATCTGTTAATATAATTGTAATCTGTAATTATATTCGGAAAGATAATAGAATGGAACAGCATAGGAGTACACTTGAATTCTATTCCAGGACTTACAAATTGAAATTTTGAAGAGAGGAATCATATCTTTCATCACTGTTTTACAAGAAGTTCCCTTGTTTCATGATAGAAACTCAATACATATTTGCAATTCAGTGAATCAGAGGCAGAAGTTGTTTATCAGAATTCCATTTATTTTTGCCTTCTCCTAGTGTGTTTCTAGATGCCAGAGTTTTTCAGTTGCCAAAAACAAAGTGAAAATGAAAAGTTTAATTGAGCTGATAGAGGGTTCTATGTCACCATTTATGTTGTAATAAGGGTGAGAGCACACTACATTTATTGATCATTTTTAAAAATTTGAGGAAGTTTCAGAGTACTGACTTTTTTTTTCAATCAGGAGTTGAAATACAGCTTTCAGAGATAGTTTCCACCATATTTTTAAAATGATCCTTTTGCAATTGAACTGTAACTTGAGCCCTAAGCTATTGCTGGTCAAGGACTAACTCAACTGAAAAAAAAAAAAAAAAAACTGTTTATAAATACATCTATCTTCTAATTTAAACCGGTTGACTAATGAATCCATATTTTTCTGTTGTTCTGAAACCTTGTGTCAAGGAACAACAACAATAAAAGTAACTGGAAAGCCAACCAACCAACTAATGAAAGAACAACAAAACCTAGA